CCACCTGAGCACAGGTAACAGGAAAGCAGCACTCACCTCCCTGCTTACTTCTGTCAAGATAGATTGAAACCCTTCGGGCCAGACCTGTGAGGAGACAGGGAGGAGGGGTTGGTGCTCAGCTCAGTCAGAGCTAAATAAATCTTAAAAAAAGGATTAGAAAAGGCAACTGAAATGAAAAGAGGAGAAGCAGCAGCAGCAGCCAGAGCAGCACATGCCTCCATCCACAAGCAGGCTCTGGCTCTGGCACAGCATTCCTGGGAAGTCATCAGCCTGTCTGTGTGGGGAAAGGGCTCTGGCTGGCTGACAGCAGCACAGAGCTGACACTTCTGCTGGAACAAGGAGACCATCCTCTGTCTCAGCTGGTCCCTGTTCTCAAGTACATTGGGAAGTGCCAGACAGAAACCCAAGTAACTGCACAAATCAGTTGGAGTGCAGAGCATGGGGCTGCTGCCACAGGAGGTTGGGGATCCTGTGCTCCACACCTGGGTGGGCACAGAGAGTGCAGACAACTTATGGGTGCTCTGTTTGAAGGGCTAAATAAGAAGTTACCCTCAGACAGAGACTGCTTTCAGCCAGGCAGTGAGGGCAGAGCTGCAAACACCAGTTGAAAGCACCATGGGGATCACCCTGGAAAATCACAGCATCATAAAACAGAATCCCAGAATGGCTTGGGTTGGGAGAGACCTTAAAGCTCATCTCTTTCCGTCCCCTGCCATGGGCAGGGACACCTTCCACCAGCCCAGGTTGCTCCAAGCCCCATCCAGCCTGGCCTGGAACACTTCCAGGAATGGAGCAGCCACAGCTTCTCTGGGCAACCTGTACCAGTGCCTCAGCACCCTGTCCTGCACAGGGAGCTCCAGGTGCTCAGGAAGAGACCTGGCCAAGCCCTTTGCTGGCTGGAGAGGGAAGACACTACAGGCAGGGAGCACTGGAGGAGCTGCAGGGAACAGCTGACTTGGTGATTGTGAACCAGTTGGTCACACCTCTGCATCCTTCCCAACTCCAGAACTGTGCTGCTCTCAAGGACAAAGCCATTCTGCCTGTGGAGCTGTGGCTGTTCCCTTTGTCAGAGACACAATAGAGAGGAGTTGAGCAGCAACACCGTGGCTGAGTGTAGTCAGAGCTCCAGTGCTGCGTGGCCAGCACGGCTGTGCTCACTCCAGGCAATGGTCCCTGTGCTGCTCACTGCCTGCAAAAACCCTTTTCTACACAAATTGCCAGAATTCCCTCAGTCTCCTGCTGCGAAAGCACAGCTCCAGAGCATGTCAGGGCTGTTCTTCCTACGCTGCTCAACAGAAAAAGTTGTTTTCCCACATCCCTGGAAACCCCAAGTGATTAGCACCAGGAGATGTGCTTCTCCCTCAGCCCCCTCTGCCCCTCATGCTGGGGATTCCCAGCCCCTGCCTCATGCAGGGACCAATCCTGCTTTCAACACCTTGATTTTCACTGAAAAAGACTTTTTTTCTTGGTGCATCTGTTCTGAACAAGATCAGAACCAAAACACCTCACACAGAACAAAGACTGGTCTGGGACTGCTGAAATGAACACTCACCTACTCCAGTCAGCTACTCAGTGCTGGGGCCAAGTTTAACCCTAACCTGGTTGTGTGAGCTCATTTCTGACCTCAGAGTGTAAAAGTGTAAGTTCTGTGCCTCACCCTGGCCTGTTGTCCCCTCTCAGGCAGCCCCTGGGCATGTCACTGGTGACATCCCATCACTCAGACAGCCCAGGGAAGCTTGTCAAGCTTCCAAGGGATATGTTTGGGTATTGTATAGTCCTCTCTCCTTTTCTAAGTGGGAAAATGGCCCAGCAAAGCCATGTTCTGGGTGTTCTCAAGAGCCATTCAGAGCTGAGTGTGACACTATGACACAGGGGAAAGGCTGGGAGGGAGGGAGAGAAAGAAATCAATAGTGGGAGCAAACAAACTCCTGTAAAACTCCTGAGCTCTGCAGCTTCAAATGTGCCTCTTCGGTTTTATGAGCCAGTGCTGGACATATCTATGGTCTTGGCAGCAGCAGACTGTTAAGAGTCTCATTTCCATGGGGACTTGCTCCACATAGCTCTTTTGAAGTGGCTACATTTATTTCTCTCTCTGCAAAGAGATCTGTCCTTCTCTGCCAAACCTGCTGCGAAGGTGAAAGGCAAAGACAACAGGCCCCAGACTGCTTCAAACTATGAGGGGAAGGAAAAGGTGAAAAATCCAAAACAGCCCTAAAGAGAACAGACTTAAAAGTTTCCAAACTCCTGTTTTGGCAAGTGCAACCATCCAACTCTCACAGCTCCATCAGCTCCTGCCTCAGCTCTGCAGTGTCAGACACTGACAATCCTTTCTGTGGTGTTAAATCCTGTACAGGGAGAGGTACAACTGCAAATGCTCTGCCTTGGCAAGGTGCACGTGGGGGAAAAAAAGGCAGGAAAATGGGATTAAGTGGAGGGAGCTCAGTGGGCAGCTGTCAGCATCCTCCCTGAATATGATCAAAGCCCACGGTCAGGGCAGTGTGGGAGAATTCCCAGCACCAAGATCCTGAATCCAGGGATGGGAAACACCAGCCAGCACCCAGGAATGCTGGTGGTGGCAAGGAAATACAGAGTGACACCGCAAAGGGCAACCTGTGGTGATTCCTGGACATGTTCTACCCCAGGACAGCCAGGCCCTTCCCCACTTGGAGCAGCCCCACCGTGTCCTCCTGCCCTTGCTGCCACCTCTGCCCCAGGGCAGGTCTGACCACACTGATTCGCAGAGCAGGCTATGAACTTCCAGCAGCTTATAACCAGTTCTGTGCATATCCCCCAGCAAGCCAGAGCTTGAAATCACCTCAAACACAGCTCCCCTTCCCTGAGACAAACTGTGAGGTGTTAAGGGAAACATAACAGACAGGAGCTCACCAGGAAAATCCAATGAATAGCTAAAAGAGCTGTGTCAGGCTCCTGGGAGGAACCACATCAGCTCAGAAATGAGAACTGTCAGATTTTAAGGTCAGGATGAATGATGATGGTCATCTCATCTGACCTCCTGCTTAGCACAGGCCAGAGAGCCTCACCCAGCAGTTGCTCCATCAATCCCACAAAGTGCTGATTGAACAGGAGCTCACACAGGAGAACCTGCAGCCTTGATTAAAAATATTCAAGTGACAGAAAATCACCATTAGAGCAGCAGGACATGGTCAGGTCTCTGAAGGACAGAACATCCGCCTCCTTTAATGTCCTGAAACCTCCTGTAATGTCCTAAAACCTCCTGTAACATCCTTAAACCTCCTGTAATGGCCTAAACCAGACTTCAGGGTTACTCACACTGATTTTCTGGCTTCATCCTGTGCATGGCTGGATGCCAGTGCTCCTTTTTACATCCTTTTCTACCCAAATTTTCTAACACTCCATGCAGGCAAATGTCTCACTGTGCTGCCCTTCTGCACGTGCCAGATTTAGACCACACGTTCCTTTGCCACCTCCTGACCCACAACAAACAGTGAAGAACAAGTGCCAGAATTGGAGCTCAGGCTAAAGGAGGTCACAGGTGCAACATGCAAAGCTGTACAAAGGCTGATTTTCACCTTTCCCCCCCCAAACAAGGCTCAGTGGGACCCACCTCGTGTAGTTGGCAGCATGTCTGACAGTCCTTGCCAGGCAGTCACCATCTCTGGGTTCTTCTCCAGGTCTGCAAAGTTCTTCCACACTCTGATGGCACCATCGTCTTGGGGAGGAGAGGAGGGAAAGAGAAAGCAGTGTCAATGCTGATGCAGCTCTCACCATTCCTCGTGCACAAGGAAGGAGAGGAGAAGCAGAACTGCAGTCACACAGACTCCGAAACTCAGAGTGGCACTTGAACTGAATCCTTTCTTCTTAGAGTTGTTTTTCCTTTCTAATCTTACATCCTTGGAGCCTAAAGCATTGTTCTACTGGAACTGTGCTGGAACAGCTTTTCCCCTTCCCGCTGATGCAGCTCTCACCATTCCTCGTGCACAAGGAAGGAGAGGAGAAGCAGAACTGCAGTCACACAGACTCCGAAACTCAGAGTGGCACTTGAACTGAATCCTTTCTTCTTAGAGTTGTTTTTCCTTTCTAATCTTACATCCTTGGAGCCTAAAGCATTGTTCTACTGGAACTGTGCTGGAACAGCTTTTCCCCTTCCCTTGAATAACACCTGACATTAGGTGTCTCTCCATTTCCTTGGCTCATTCACTTTCTCTAGGATTCATCTCTGTCCTCCTCACTGTTGGTGCTGAGAGCTACAGAAGTACCACTCCACACCAAACAGCCCTACAGAAGCAGCTGAATCAAAGCCCAAACCATCAGCACTAAATCTTTCAGGAACACTGTGTATTTTTCAATTTGCTCCCCATCTGCCAAACTTTTGTGCTGAGAATCAATAAGTTGAAAGGAAAATGTCCTGAAGGCCCTCTCAGCTGCTCTCCCACCTCCCTTAATTACACCCAACCTCTACAGGTCAGCAGGATGTTGGAGGAGCTGCTGAAAACACTCAGGGATGGGTTGGGAATGGCTCCTTGGGAGAGCAGCAGACCTGACTCACAGCAGAGCAGGGAATGGGGCAGAGCTCTTTATGCAACCCCACACAAGGCAATGGGGTGTTCTGGAGACCTGCTGAGGTGAGGCACATGGACTAAACTCAGAGCTACTTGAGAAGTTCAGTACTTAGACTGAGCCCTGATTGCTCTAGCCAAAACCAGCACAAGGAACAGAATTTGAGTTCTTCTATTCTGGGTGCTGTATGATTTCAGCTCTGGATAGCAGCTCTAGCCAACCAAAATCCTCTTTCCCCAGGTGTTCTGCAGGAGTAAGTGACCACAACCTTGCAAGGACAGGGAAAGGCTCAGAATGAGGGAAGAAATAAAGCTGTGTGAAAGGCTTCAGCAAGTGTTTGCCTCCTCAGTCCCTTGAAAGACTTTGCAGCATGTGCTTAAGAGATTTCAGTACTGCCAGAAACAACTTTTGGGTTTGATCCTGAAAATGCCTCCTCAGCTGAGAGCAGACAGGGAAGGGCAGGGGAGGGAAGGGTCAGGCTGGGGCAAATCCACGGAGGGAAGAGCATGAGGTGCAGAACAGCTCAGGTGGATGTGGGTTTGTAAAGCCCCCCCAGTGCCAGCTCACACCTGGGAAATGTGTTTACCTGTGGCAGTGAGCAGCAGGGAGCAGTCCTGCCCATTCAGGTACTCCATGGCTGTGATCCGTGTGTACCGAGGGTTCCCGTTGTGGAAGTAGTCCAACTTCTCCCCCTTCTCCCAGTCCCAAAAGCTGTGGGAGGGAAAGACAGCAAGTCAGTTCTCAGCTCTCTGTGCAAGCTGTGGAGAGATGTACACATTATCCAATTACACCTCATGGATTCCAGCTCAGTTTGGATTTCTCCTTTGGAGTTCAGCATTGTTTGATTGATAACACATCACACAATCATGGAATGGGTTGGAAGGGACATTAAAGATGATCCAGTTCCACCCCATGCCATGGGCAGGGACACCTTCCACTAGCCCTGGTTGCTCCAAGCCCCATTCAACCTGGCCTGGAACACTCCCAGGGATGGAGCAGCCACAGTTGCTCTGGGCAAGCTGTGCCAAGGAAGAATTGAAACACCTCGACCTCCTGCAAGATAAACAGGACAGAAGCTCAGCTTTAACTGCTATAACCCTGTGAGGACCCACGTGCAGCCCTCACCCAGCACCTCAGGGTGGGTGGACTCAGGGTCATGCTGAGAGCTGTGGATGTGAGGACTCTGCCCTGTGTCCCTGCCCTGAGGGAGGGAAGGATGGCCATGGGGGAATGGGGAGGAGGAAGGGAAGGACATGTGGCAGTGGTACCTTGAGATAACCCCCATGTGCCCTGCACCACTCTAACCCTCAGCCCCTCACCAGATGCTGTCCTTGTCAGCCACGGCGATGCAGGGTGTGAAGGGGTGGAATTTCACCACAGAGGGGACACCTGGGTTCCTGTTGAGGAAGATCTGGTCGTCCAGCCGGGAGATGCCTGTGGGGACAGGAGCAGCACAGCTCAGCACCTGGGGATGGCCCACCTGGGAGACAGGGCTGGGACCACCCTCAGCTTCCCAGTGTGACCCCTCTCCTCCTCCTGCCGCCCCAGTTCTCACCAACAGCCACCCCAGCACTGTCCTCCTGCAAGGAGCTTCCCAGACCCATCACCCACAGCCCCAGCTGCCCCACACTGATGTGTTTCATGTCTTAAGGCACAAACTAAAGCTGGTGACAAATCAGGAGGTCCTTTCCATGGGAGATTGAAGAGAACAAGCACAACAAGCACAGAAAAACCCAGTTTGTGTCGAGAGAAAAAAACAGTTAGTGTTGAGAGAGAAACTAACACTGTTCCTTCAAAATATAAAACACGAAAATGCCTTTTCCCAGCTTAAAATACATCTGCACACTGTGGCCTGTGGATTATTTATTTAACCTTCCATTACAACTCCTTCACATTTGAGGTTAATTTGCAAATGAAAAATGTATTTTCCATGGAGACCTTAAACAAGGGGCAAAGACTTTCCCCATCTTGTCTTCAGAGCAGTTTGCTATTCACAAGCAGTGTGGGGACCCTGACACTGTTAGTTTTTGGCACACTCTGAATTCATCACACAAGCCCCTGAGCCCAGGAGACATCTCCTCAGCTCCAGTTTGTTTTAGAATGCATCCATTTAATCTAATTTTCATTAAAAGCTTGTAAGTCTATTTTAATTCCTTTTAATATTTCACATTTCCATTATTTTTTTAATGAATAGTGGCACTTCAGTCACTCAGGTCAAGCAACCAAATATGAACACTGTCTAGAAACAGATTTAACTTCTCTAGGCAAGCATGAAAAATCCCCTTCTTTGTATTCAAACAGATCTGCCAGGCCATCTCCTGGGCTCCAGCTTTGTTTCCCTGGTTCTCTGGTTGATGATATTCTGCAGCTTCCCGACACGAACCTCTGACTGGAGCTCAGCAACCTCCTGACAACCAGGCTGAGCCCTGGGCATTTCTTCATTCACATTATGATTTCCAGCTCCTGCAAGCTTCCCTGGGGAGCAGCAGCCCCCACAGCACAGTCCTGCCCCCGGGAATGCTGCTGGGAGGGTGCTGGGAGCTCCCCTGAATGCAGCTCCTTAGGCACACGAGCAGGGATCATTTAGGGATGCAAATCCCTCAGGAAGCTTCGTTGGGTTCCACTGTATTTGAATCTCAGCCTGTGCTGAGAGTTTTAGCCCAAAAGCTGCCTTGGAGAGGCACAGAGAGGCGTAAGGAAATGCAGGATCAGGTTTCTGGGGAGCTCATGCTGACGCAACTTGAACCTGAGCGTGCTGGAAGCAGCATAGAGACACACACAAATCCCCAAAATATCATGGGATATAGGGAGTAAATGAGCATTTACAGAGCTCAGCAGAGCAGGGAATGTGAGACACATCACTGAGGTATCTCCTGGTCATGGAGGATGTGGCCAGCAGGCCCAGGGCTGATCTGCCATGAGCATGTCTGTCCCACATCAAACACTGCAGTTTATCCTGCAGCATTCCACCCACTATCCCTTTCAAAACGGAACTGACTACCCATCTGAACTCCACAGGGCAGGGAGGAAGAGCCCAAATGGTAAATCAAGAGCATCTGCTCTGGGGCTCTGCATTGTGGATCTCATGGCTTTGCTGGAGGCACCAATTGCCACTGGGGCTGTGGCTGAGGAGCTCAGCAGCTTCCTGGCACTGGAAAGGGGATGTGCGTCAGCTCCCACAGGTCAGGAAGCTTCCTTTTCTCCTACTGCTCTCCTGGCAAGGACTCTCCTCCTTCAGAGGAGTCATTGCTCTGGGGCTCCTCTGCTCCCACAGTGGTCAACCAGTTCAGTGCTGCTCTTGGCTGAGCACTTCGCTCTGGAGTTGTGCTTTCAAAGGGAAAGGCAGATACTTGGCATTTGAAGTGCTCGTTTCCCTGATCTAGTGAGCAAACTCTGCAGCTGAGAAGGGAAAGGTGAGGGAGTATCAGTGAAACATCTGCAGCAGCATCACCTCACCTGCACCGGGAGGGAACAGGCACCTTTCCAGTGTGAGGGGCAGCACGGGGCCACTACTAATTGGGGTCATAGTTAATTGAGATTTTGCAGTTCAGTGTCCTGAGCAAGGGACAGTACTCACCCTTCTGGATGATCTTCTGGGCCTGTTTCCTGACCCGGGCGTTGCGCAGGAACCGCCACTCCCTCTCCTTGCGGATCTGACTCTCCAGGTCATGCTCCTCAGGGATCTTTCAGTAGGTGAATAGATGCACAAAACAAACCAACAGTGACCATCAAAACCCCACGAATTACCTTGGTAACACACACTCAGACCATGCAGCACATCAGACTGAGCCATAAGTACTTTAGGGTCTCAGCTTCAGGCAGTAAATGGAGGAGCACACGGGACATGATGTTATTAAATACTTGAGCATCTTTCTGAGCGAAATCCTTCTCATCATCCCTAATCTCTTCCCTTTTCCTTTTGCTGCCCTGAGCTTTGTTTTGTCTTTAAGTCACAGGCATTTCCCCCAGATGAATGACTTGGGGTTTCAGAAGAGCTCTGCATATTACCATCCATGGCGGTGACACAGTTGAGTGAGGAACCTCGTCACCAGCACCAGCCCCTGTTTGGTTCCATGTACTGGGAACTCCTTATATTGGGAAGAATAGAATAGATTAGCATGATATATAATAGATTAGGAAGAACTCTTCCTTATATTAGGCAGAAGTTTTCCCTGTGAGGGTGGTGAGACACTGGCACAGGTTGCCCAGGGACGCTGTGGCTGTCCGAACCCTGGCAGTGTTCAAAGCCAGGTTGGATAAAGACTTGAGCAACCTGCCTGAGATGGTAGAAGCCCCAGTGCTGCTCCCACCATGGGTATCCTCACCCTCAGCGCACAAGATCACAAGGAATAAAGCCATATGATCTCATCCCCACAGCAGGAGCTACATAGGTGGTGTCTTTAATGCTTAAAAAATCGTTCAAGACGAATAACCTCACTGCTCCAGAACCATCCCTGGGTCAATTGAGGACTCTGAGGACTCTGGGACAACTATAGGACTCTGATCCAGCTGCTTTTGATGCTGGTTGTTCCAAAGAAATAACTTTGGGAGAAAGGAGACATGAAGTCCTTTGACTCCTTCCCCAGGCCCCACAAACACATACTCTTTTCCATAAATAAGAAGCCTCTTAAATAATCTGCCACTATTCTATACATTGCCTTCCAAACACACTATGCTTTGGAAAACAACAATTACTGAGCTCAACTTCTGCTCCTTTCAAATAAATAAAACCCAAGGAGCCCACCCTCCACCTTTCCTCCTGGCAAAAAAAAAAAAAAAAAAAGCACTTTTATTTCAGTACAACACCTATTAGAAAGGCAGTGACAAACGACCCATAATGTAAAGCAATAAACAAACCTGAGCTAAAATACATCAAAGGAATTTGAGAGTGGAGAGATGACACCTACACCTTAATGAAAATCCAGCTGCTCTGGGAATAAATTAAAGTAAGTGCTAAAATGCTGGGAAAGAGCACTTGGACCACCACTGCAGTGAGGAGCTGAGTCAGAGCACACAGGTAACTCTGTCCTGGCTCCCCATGCCCACCCACCTGGGACTGGGCTCTGTGGGTCATCCTGCCAAGGGTCTAGAGAATACCAAGCTCAGAGAACATGCAACAAAGTGACAAACACAAGGGCACTTAGAATCACAGAATCATTTAGGCTAGAAGAGATCCATCAAGTCCAACCTGTGACCCATCACCACCTTGTCAACCAGACCAGTGCATTGAGTGCCATGTCCAGTCTGAACACCTCCAGGGCTGGTGACTCCACCACCTCCCTGGGCAGTTCCAATGCCTGACAAACCCTTCCATGAAGAAATTCCTCCTGATGTCCAATCTGAACCTCCCCTGGCACAGCTTGAGGCTGTTTCCTCTTGTCCTGTCCCTTGTTCCCTGGGAGTAGAGCCTAGAACCTGTCTTGGCACAGCTTGAGGCTGTTTCCTCTTGTCCTGTCCCTTGTTCCCTGGGAGTAGAGCCTGACCCCACCTGGCTGCACCTCCTGGCAGGAGTTGCAGAGAGCAGAAGGTTCCCCTGAGCCTCCTTTTCTCCAGGCTGAGCCCCCAGAGCTCCCTCAGCTCTCCTCATCAGATTTGTGCTCCATTCCCTTCCCTGAGCACTTGAGGTGTCTCAGCACTGCCCTGGTCCTGCTGCCACACAAGCCAGGATGCCACTGGTCTTCTTCATGGATTGTGTGTGGCACAGCCATGACCTCCAGCCCAGCTGCTGCTGGCTGGAAAACCAGGAATTACTACTCAACTCTTTAGGCTCCTAATTCCCATCCCTGTTCCCCTAACCACCAGCTCCTGCTGGAGCTAACACTGTGTCTCCCTCCCACCATGGCAGTGGGTGTCAGGAGGGAGCAGGAGGATTTGGCACACAGCTCCAGTGGCAAATCCAGTTCTCCTTGGGTAACATCCCTGCAGCAGTTGCAGGGAGCTCACTGCTCTGCCAGGACTCTGAGCAGCAGCCAAGGCACAGCACTGCAGCTCGGGCAGGGCTTTATCAGGAAGGGTTTCTTATGTAATTCTCACCTTCCAGGATCCATCCCTGCTCCTGCCTGCGTGTTCTGCCAGCCCTGGGAGCAACAGACGCTGGCTCCTGCTCTCCCTGACTCAGGACTTCCTGGCAGCTGGCACCAAGGCTTTCCTGCCCGCTCAGGCCAGCACCACCCGTGGTTCCCAGCACAGCCTGGTGTCACCAGGGACTTCAGTAGGAGGAAAGGCTTTTGCAGAGACCAGGGCTGGGGTAGGATCTGCTTTCCCTGGCACATGGGGAATTCACAATGCAGTGTTTTCTTTCTCCATTGATTTGATTAGATAATCAATAAATCAAACCTGGAGTGATGGCTTGAAACTGAGCCCGTGATTTACACTGGGAATTAATCCCTCAGTCTTTCCAGTGAAAGCATTCTCAGGGCAAGGTCTATGAAGCAAAACTAAATTCATAAATTAAATATGACTAAGATGCACTCACAGTCATTTTATGTTTATTCATTACAGGAACAGTTGCCTTGTCTTTCCCTGTTTATGCAGGCAGGCAGCAGCTCCAAATGAACGCCTGGAATTAAGCATCAATGTCATCTCCTTCCATCAGTACTCAGTAGACTTTACTCTTTGCCTTTTTCATGAGGCTGAAGCTCCCAAAAGACAGCAGCCACCAGCCAGGGCTGTTCCTGTCGTTGCAGGAGCAGAGCACTCCATGGAAACTCAGTTCCTGAGCTGCTGCATGGCCAGTCCTGCCAGGGAACCTCAGGGAACTTGTCCCTTGCACACACAACACTCACTCTATTCCAAATTACATATAATTCACAGAATCATTAAGGCTGGAGAAGTCCTCCAGGACCATCAAGTCCAACCTGTGACCCATCACCACTTGGCAGCCAGACCAGAGCACTGAAGTGCCATGTCCAGTCATTCCTTGGACACCTCCAGGGATGGTGACTCCACCACATCCCTAAGCAGCCTCTTCCCATGCCTGACAGCCCTTTCCAGGAAGAAATTCCTCCTGATGTCCGACCAGAACCTGTCTTGGCACAACTTGAGGCTGTTTCCTCTCATCCTGTCATTTATTCCCTGGGAGCACAGTCCAAATCCCACCTGGCTCCAACCTGTCAAGTTCCCTGTTAGGATAGGCTAACACAACACCCAAACCCCACCTGGCTCCAACCTGTCAAATTCCCTGTTAGGATAGGCTAACACAACAATATTCCTGCACAAAGCCTCTCCTTGGCCTTCTAAAGCTGCTTTGCAGAAGTAAGAGGGAAATCAACTTTCTTCCTTGTTCTATTAGAAAACACAGAATTGGTTTTGCTCAGCTTCACCCATGGCTGGTGAGGACAGCTCATGGTCAGAAGCCTCAGTCGCAGAGAGGGAGAATTCCTGGCCTAAAACACTCAGGGAACTACTACAAGAGTCATGGATGGCTCACATGCAGCTGCTGGTGGAGGGAGAAGGGACAGAGCACAGCACTCATGGGGTGCTGCTCAGGAGTGCAGTCACAGCATTTCCATGACTCCCCTCCCTGGCTTCTGGGAATCAGCATAGGAATGCTCCACATTTTTGCTGCCTCCCCTAAAGTAATTTTGTCTACTTTATGTCCATGAAGTAGTAGTAAACCCACCCCCACGCTCAGAGCTCTGCCCCTGCTCGTGCCTGGCTGCCTTCCCTGATTTATTTCATTAATAAAGACACTCCTCTTCCCTGGGAAGAGCTTCCCTCAAAGAGCAGACAAATGCTTTTAATAAGAACTAAGAGCTCAAACATCATCTTCCTCCTCCTGTGTTCTTGTATGGATGCGAATCAAGGCACCAAAACTCATCATGATGAGAGAAGCCCCTGGTCCAAGCCTGACCAGGCAGCCCAGTCCCACAGGCCACATGTGTGCTAATGAATTATTCTGCTCAGGATATCAGGAGAAGGTGAATTTCAGAGCAGCTGAGGAAGTGTCAGGCAATCACTTCAGCAGCTACTGCTTCCTCCTGATGATTCTCTGTGGAAATCAAGAACCTGCCATGCAACTGCTGTTCTGATATCCTTAAACTCAGAGCAGTTACCTCACTCCAAACCCTTCAAGGTGCCAGAAGAGTGGTGATGGATGGCTCAGCAGCAGCTCCTGGATGAAACAGCACTTAAAATGGGCAATTTTCTCATTATTGAGAGTTAAATACCAGTGGTTGGACATAAACATCCGTTGTGGAGTGGCATTAATGCAGGCTGGGCATTATCCTTCACAGCCAAGGCAAAGCCTTTGGGAACTGAAACTCAAAGTCCTGACACAGCTTGGGCTCCCTGAGACTCCCAGAGCACCTGGAGGTTTGTGCTTGCTTTAATGAGGGAGATTTGCTGCTGGTTTTATTTCATACTTAAACCTGAAACCTGAGCTTTGGCTAAAACATTCTGGGAACTTAACAGCTTCTCTTTCCAGTCACTAATGGTTTTTGCCCATCTCTCAAGAGCTCTGCCTTGGCTTTTTCCTAGAACAAGGCCTCAGTTTCTCTCACCTCACACAAAGCCAGCTCAGGTACCCCAACAACTCACTTTCAAAAGGCTCTGGGTGCAGAGTTGTCATTGCCACCTTTATTCTTTGCCACAACACAACTTATTTTACCTTTTTAACTCCAAAACCCAACTGTGATGCTCCTGAAATTCCCCCCAGGCACTCCTGTGGACATCCAGCCACTCTCACTTTCTCCTCTAAGTTAGAGGTGTCTGCATTGTGTCTGGAAGCAGAGCACAGCTCTGAAATCACACTGCAGGTCTGTCCTGCAGTCACTGGGACCTTTCCCCAGGGGAGCAAACCCCTTCCACCACTTCTCTGCCTCTTCTAACATCACCACAGCCAGGAAATTCAGCTGGAATGTCAGCAAGAAAAGAGCATCGCTCTTTCTCCAGCATCTCACAGCCCTTTCTGGGGAAAAAAATCCTTCCTTCCTCTCTTTATTTGTGTTAAAAAATCAATTAATTTTCACTATAATGCAAGGTTCAATATATAGACAGGCACAACATTTCAACTGGAACACATCCACAGTGCAGCCAGGCAGAACTGGGGCTCTGGGCTCCAGAATCAACCCCCAGTTTTACATTCCTTGTGGACTGTGCTCCATGGAGCTTAGGGCTTTGCCTCTGGGCTGTGTCATACCCTGTTATCCCATCCTCTCTGACTCTTCTGCTCCCTCTGATCACTTTTTCCCTTGTATTTACCAGCACAGTGGCCCCACAGCTCCCTAGAGCAGGATGATGTGAGTCCATTCCTCTCCCTCCCCAGACTGGAGGAAAAGGAGGGGAAAAAGCCTGAAGCTGAGCTCAGGAGCACTGAGTGCTCACCAGCACTGCCCAGAAAGGCCACCCACGAGAGCAGTGTTACCTTCATCACTGGCTGAGCAAAGTACTTGGCACTCCAGTCACAGAATCCTGTCTGCACCGTGGCCGAGATGAAGCTCTTGTGTCCGACGGTGTCGTCGGCGTCGTCAGCTGTCTGTGAGGAGAGAACAGGTGTCACCCAATTCAGGGCCACATGTGCCACCCAGATTGCCCTTGGCAGGCAGCAAACAGCTCAAACATGCTGCCAAGGCCATGAAACTCTGTGCACTTGGCTTTGGGATCACTTCGGTGACAGTCACTCCTGGAAATGTGCTCATCTCCCAGCTGCATGGCACGAGGCCATCAGGATGCTGCAGGAATTGGGGCTGAAGCAGCACTGTCACCATGATGAGGTCCCAGTTTTCTCACAGTACCCAAGCATCTGGCATGAGGAACAGGGAGGATGAATCAGGATAAGGCACAGCCAGACACAGCTGCAAGCCAAGGGCACACAGGGATGAGTGTTTGTTACACAGCACAAGTCATCCACAGGGAAAGTGGAAATGCTGCTCCACTCACTCAGGTTTCAGCCATTTTTCAGGAATATGACCCAGGCTAGTGCTGCCAA